CTAGTCTACTCTAATTGTCTGTTGAACAAGCATCTATAGTCTACACAAATTCTGACACGTTTGGGTAAAATTATGATAAACAGCTCACTGGAGTCCATGCGTAATTTTCAACCAAAGTATACAGAAGTTTTGGTTTGGGATTTAAAACCCTTACCCCTGAGCTACACAGTCCACGGTTATCACTGTGTGCGAATGGTTCAATCAATTTAGATAGTGAATATTTGGATTAGCTCATTCGGTTTTTCACAGGTACCAGGCACTGTTGATGATGTCTAACAGTGCCTGGTGCCTGTGAAAAACCGAATGGGCTAATCGGAACATTCACCATCGATACGCCAACACCTATCCAGGTTCCCGAGATGCTTTATCGCAAACGGCGCGCATCAAAGTGTTTCCCACACACCAAAACAAAAGTTCGGTGCGCATTTAGTCTATCACCAGGCGACTCGCAGTATTTCTGTGTTGTAAACGTACAAACAAGTCAATCAAAATAGAACTTAAAACAGAAACGGACTGATGATATCACGAGAAACGTTTATCACCAAATGAAACGCACACTCCGCATAGACGTCACGATTAATGGCAATGTGTTTGTTGCTTTCAAACCATACGTGTGAAAATCGCAATCCATTCGAAGCCACAATTCACCACAATTTTATGTTCTGGGGAACCGAATACTACAGCATGCCACTGATGAAAGAGATTTGGGAGTTATGTTACAGGAGGACGTAGGATGTTCCACGCACTGTGCCAGAGCATCATCCATCATCCTCTAAAGCAAGTTGGTCTACTCAAACGTGCTTCCGGGCAGTTAAAAAAAGTACTGTTCCCACGCTTGCTATCTGCGTTCATTCGGAGAAACACACGGAGTACGCCATTCAAGTATGGAATCCATGATTAAATCGCTACAGGAAGACTTTAAAACGTCCGCAAAAGTTGGTATCGAAATTGGAAAAAGTTCTGTATGACAAGACACACTTCGAAAGACTGCAAGTGTTGGATGGGGCTTTACTCATCTCAATACCGTCGGCTTCCCGGGGAACCTAATCTTCACATACCACATACTGCATCGAACTAATCACTCTTGCCGTTCTGATGCCGTTCTGTGCTGATTTATCCCAAAATAATTATCTCAGGGAACATTCGTTGAAGTTCAGGACCCAGTACTGTAATCTGGAGAGTCGGTATCACTCATTTGTAGTCAGAGTATGCGGCCTATGGAAGGCTCTTTCATTTGATGTAGAGTGTGCACCCACAGGTGAACTATTTAAATCGCAACTTGATAAAGCATTGCAACACTTAAAATGTTGACATCTGTGAGTGATCGTGCCTATTATTATTATTATTATTATTATTATTTTCTATTTATGAAGCTATTCAAAAGATTCTGTAAAAATCCTGTGGAGCACAATAAGCCTCAGCTTTGTAAAAATCGCCTATAATAAAGCTTTGGGTTTGATTTGTTTATCGGATTTGTATTAGCTGGCTATCTAACGAAATTGTTTGGGCATTTCTGATCTTTTTGTTTAAAAAGAACATTGAATCTGTGAGCTGAGAACACATGACTCTCTTTCGACGAATAGTGATTGATTTCAAGATTGGTCATGTGGATTGAAAGGAAAGGTTTCACCAGATGGAAACGAAAACATTGACCATTTCAAGTGTACCATGAAAATTGTGATCGTAATTTTCAATCCACTTGCGTTTGGGAAAAGCCCAGCAACTTTGATCCGGATTTTACTTATCACTGCTGTTTCACTGAACGCTACCACATTATAACAAACCGGACGAGCCGGGACAAGAACCCTCGAGTTTCGATCGACTAATCTGCGGTACATGAAAACGGACAGTACATCAGATTGATCTTGTGATACTCGCCTTAACAGTGATCGTGGAATCCGTGAGAGCACAACTGGCCAATCACATATTGTGATGGATTGCTACGATTTGTTGGATAGACTCAAAGACTCAAACACAAACGGATTACGCATGATGATAACACGAGATCGCCGACAGTTCTTCCTCGTTGCAAACATTGTGACTGATAAAACCATTGAATACACATACACACACACAAACAAGTGTACGACTATATAGAAAGAGTATTAAAAGGGAAAAGCGGAATTCAAGGTGGTGGTTGTGTAAAACGGTCACATTTCCACACGCACACACACACACACATCCACACACGCACACACACATCATACCATTCAAACCAAGTGACAAAATTGATCCCGATCGTGCCATATTCCAGGAACGATATGTTGAACGATATGTTCTATCCACGGTAACGTGAATCCCCGTAAACTCCTTGAGGTGTTCAAATATAGAACATCACTCTGAAAAATGGCGAAAATGATCAAACAGTATTACCCGAAAGATTTACAAATTCGTTGATTAGTCGGAACGCGTCCACGCACATCACATATCGGAAGCCATTGCATAATAGTCAGTATATAAATATTCAAACATTTGTGACAATATAACGAGAAGTAATTCGGATTCACTATCTTAAGAACGGCTACCTAGAACGATTTGTGAAAAAGAGGTTGAGGCCTCACCGATTGACGAATAGGATAAATACTGTTGTGGATGACATAACATGTAGTCT